TCATGACGGCTTCGTCCCCTGCCTGCCCTGTCCACTGGGAACGTACCAGCCAGAGGTGGGACGCACCACCTGCTTCCCTTGTGGAGGAAACCTGGTCACCAAGCGCAGTGGTGCCATTACCTTCCAGGAGTGTGAGACCAAAGGTGCCAAAGTCATTTTTTTTATTGTTGTTGCAGAGTTGAAACGTGACCCCAGTTTAGTTTCATGTCTCATGTTATGACATAAATGGAGGGATTAGATGGTTGTTTTTCAGGCTGAACATGTTTATGAAAACCTGTCAAACTAATTCGATAAAGGGAAACATCTGTTGTTTTGACTTTTTGACATCACAGCAGTATCATGTGGTTTCTGAGTCTGTGGAGCTCTTGTGTGTGCGTTGACAGGAACTCTGCTGCCCTCTGCAGCCACTGTGTTGTCTGTACACTTGCGTGGTAGAGTCAGTTTAAAAGAATGCACCTCCTAGATGTCATGCCTTCAGGAACTTTTGGTTTTAGCTTGATGACAGTGAGTTTTTATGTTTTATCTATTCTATTCTGAGGTAATTAACAAAGGCAGGGAAGTAAAAGAAACACTGAACACAATGAGAACACATTTCAAAATAAAACAGGAAGTGGACACCAACACATGAGCATGAACGTGACAGAATATCACAGTTACATCAACCAATAGTTTTCCATCACTGTCTTGGCTCCTGCAGTCCAGTGCTCTCCAGGACATTACTACAACACCAGCACACACCGCTGCATCCGCTGTCCCACGGGCACGTATCAAGGAGAGTTCGGGCAGAACTACTGCGTCGCCTGCCCAGGGAACACCACCACCGACTTCGATGGCTCTACTAACTTCATGCAGTGCAAAAGTATGTCTGTCTGTACACAGGAATTCCTCTGAAACATGCACACATGGGAAATTAAATCCAGTTCCAGGTAATTCAGATATATCTGACACATCTTTGTCACTTTACAGACCGACAGTGTGGAGGAGAGCTGGGAGATTTTACCGGCTTCATCGAGTCTCCCAACTATCCTGGGAACTACCCAGCTAATGTGGAGTGCACCTGGACCATCAACCCACCACCCAAACGCAGGATCCTTATTGTCGTCCCAGAAATCTTCCTGCCTATTGAGGACGAGTGTGGCGATTACTTAGTAATGAGAAAAAGCTGTGAGTTTTATTGTTATGATTATACTACAAATATTGTGTGTCATTATCAGCAGACTGTCAGAAGTAATTGCTGTAAGCTAACTGTCTGTGTGCTCATGTCCTCATTTCACAGCTCTCTCCAACTCTGTCACAACCTACGAGACTTGTCAGACCTACGAACGTCCCATCGCTTTCACCTCCCGCTCCAAGAGGCTCTGGATACAGTTCAGGTCCAACGAGGGAAACAGTGGGAAAGGCTTCCAAGTCCCGTATGTGACATATGACGGTAAGAAGAAATATGAGGTTCTGTGCTTCGATGATGATGCTGCTACCTCAGTGTGTTACATACATTTGATTTAGTTGTTTTAATGAGCTGTTTATGGACTGTTTCAGAGGACTACCAGGAGCTAATAGAAGACATAGTCAGAGATGGAAGATTATACGCTTCAGAGAATCACCAGGAAATTCTCAAGGTATGTAGGTGTACATGTTTAACAAGGATTTTATGTTTTTGTGCTGTGTGTTTTCACTTTGGACCAGAGTTAGCCAGAAATTTTGACATGTGGTATATTATAATGTTCCATGTATAATTTGACACTTTATCTGTATTGCACCTGTTATTCTCCGCCCATAATAACTCTCTACAACACCTCACCTCTGTCTAACAGAGAGCTCTCAGCTTTATGGTTTTGCTCCTTCAGCAGCCTTGCACATGGTCAATTTGCACATTCTTACACTCTGCCTCAATGCATGGATTGGATATTTGTCTTATTATTATTAGTATTATAGTATACTGGGGTGTGTTTGTGTTTATGTATGTATTATGGATTTAGGTTTGGTGAGCATGTAGCACCCTCTTTTGGACACCTGTGGAAATGCAGGCTGCTGCTTTATCATCTGCTTTTCTTTGCTTCCCATTAATGCAATCTGTTTTCTCACCAGGACAAGAAACTGATGAGGGCGCTGTTCGATGTGCTGGCTCACCCACAGAACTTCTTCAACTACACAGCACAAGAATCAAGAGAAATGTTCCCCAAATCCTTCATCCGCTTCCTCCGCTCCAAAGTCCTGAGATTCCTTCGCCCGTAGGATGGGCAGTTTCTGGATATTTCATGAAAAACCCAGATTAGATCCCGAAGAGAAAGCGAATAAGTCAAGCAACTGGACTTTAAACTGGAGCTTTAAGAGGGAGAAATGAGTGTAGACCCACATGGGCATCCTCACATGCTTGTTTGGAAAATTGGAAACATGTTTTAATTAGCAACAGTTGAATTATGACCATCTCAGGATTCCATGCTGTACATGCCAACGTTATGAGACATTTGCTAATAGCATCATAATGAAAAACAGACGCTGTAGCTGAACAGATATATGCTGAATGTCAGTGTGCTGTATATAGAGTGTGTATCTAGTTTTAACATAGGCTACGTTCACAGGTAGAGCTTCATTGACAGAAACACTGCTACATGTCAGAAACAAATATAGCACAAATGTTTTTTCGGCAACATTAGCACTACTGAGGAAGTAGTGGCACCACAAAAGCAATTATTCTGATAAATGTTTTGTATATGATGTAAAAAGTTTTAGGTGAAATGCTAATGTATTGTAGCAACTACGTACATTTTTGACAGTATAGCACCGCTGTAATCGCTGGTGGCCGACGTATTTGATGTTCCAAGGTGTGAGTGAGTGCGACTACACCAGTACGCATCAGTATATTTTGTATTGTTACCTAGCAACCAAAGACAACTGTTAAGAGTACATGAAAAGAAAAGTCCTGTAAAATAGAATTGAGCTATTCACCTGTCTTAGATGACACATGTATGTATATTTTTATGGTTTTGTACATCTAATATGCTGTAAATAAAGATAGGAAACTTATTTTGTGTTTTTTGTTTCCTTTCCTCACTTTAATGTCATATTGTATTTGTGGCACAAAACAGAAGGTTTCAGTTGTTCCAGCTGAATTTCATTCTCATACACACATACACTGTGACTGCCTTATTAGACCAGTTAACATTTAAAGGGACAGTTAAGCTGAAAATTGAAAATACAAATCTTTCCTCCTACCTTTAGAGCTGTTTATCAGTCTAGATTGGTTTGGTGTGAGTTGCTGAGTGTTGAAGATACTGACTGTAGAGATGTCTGCCTTCACTTGAATATAGTGGAACTAGATGGCACTCAGCTTGTGCTAAAGAAAAGCACAAATGATATTAATATTTTATTTTAAACCCAACAGCAATGTCTCGTTCCAGATATCATGACCCATTATTCAAGATGATCCACAGACCTTGTTGTGAGCAGTTTCATGTAATAACTATTTAGTTTCTGCCAAACTACACCCACAAACTGTATCACCACTTAGAAGGAAGAGTGCACTCACATTACAGCTCAGCTGAGGAAGATGCCATTAATATTTACATGTCGTGCTATCATGAGAATGAACCTCTGGTCTATGAGTAGATGCACACTTCCTTCTAAGTGGTGACACAGCTTGAAGGATGTAGTTTGGTAGAGAGAAATTAGTTCCTACAGGAAACTGCCCACAACCAGGTCTGTGGATTATTTTGAGTAACTGGGTCATGATTTCTGGATTGCTATTGAGTTTTTCAAGTGTATTTTTTGGGCCCTTTTGAGCACCACAAGCCGAGTGCCATTTAGCTCTATTATATTCGAGAGAAGGCAGACATCTCTATGGCTGATGTAGTTATGATGCTCTAATTATCCCCCTTGTCTTCATCCAAATTCTGAAACAAAAAAGTACCAGACCACTTAATATATTTTAAAAGTTTACTTCAACTGTCAAAGGTGACACAGAAACAATTGTCCATTTCCAAATCCAAAATTATCCTGAAAGGAGAGAGAAGAAAAAGATAAAAGAGGTAAGAGGTAAAAAAAAAAACTGTGGCTCCACTCCCTACTGCAATTAACTCTCAAATCTAAAAACTCTCTCCACTGGTGAGTGTAAAAAAAGGGGGCAAAGTGGAAAACTGCATTTAGGTTTCTACAGCCGATATCACCAACAGTAACTCACACAAGAACAATCTAGATTGATAAATAGCACTGCAGGTAGGAGTAAAAATATGCATTTTTGGTTTTGGGGTGAACTTTGCCTTTAAAAAAAACTCATTCAGTATCGGAAGACAGTATTTGGGCAGAAACACAACACTCCACCCTTTTATTTAGGTATGGAAATTGCTGACTGTCTGCATGTAACTAAAGATGTACATTACCTAAGAGCTGGAATAAATTGAATTCATGTGGCCCTGCACTGGTGTGGTGTAGCATGCTGTATCAAGCATTATCTATTTCTTTTTTTTGCTACGTGTCTGTACCTTGTTTGCATATTTCTCTGGCCCATTTCTTGTGCTCCTGTCATGCTTAATTCCCCCCTGAAGATTAATAAAGGTTGTCACCTCAGGTTTCCAATAGACACATCATTAGGGCATATTAAAGTTCTCATTAAAAATACATTTTATTGTTATATATCTTATACATAACAGTATTACTGTATATAATCCTTGAGAGTTTTATGTCTTCACCTCAGATGCACCCGTTCTCACAGTCTGGTAATAGGACTGCAATAATGTCGACCCAAGAGGTGCGTTTGTTTTAGGTTCACTACTTCACCAGCGAGGGCGGAGTGTAGCTCGGCTTGTACGGGTTTTTAGGCGTTATCTCGGAAACATTCAAGTAACCGATTTAATTGTTGTGTAAAGGCTTTTTCACATAAATATATGTTGTTTAAAATTACCCCTCTGTTTGAGAAGGTTTACATTTCACCGCCCGCCGGGAACTCATGATTTACATAACCGAGCGCCATTTCGAGAACACCGGAAACAACAAGTCAGCTGCTGGGAAGCTGAGGTGTTTATCCCTAAATTAGCTCGATGGCTAAAGTCGTCACTTGTTAGGGTGTTATTTACACTGCCGGCGTTGCTGGCGTTGTTTGTGCAAACAGTTTAACGACAGTCATCTGGAAATCTTTTACAGACTCCGAAGATGAAGTCTGTGTTTCTTCTCGAGCTTTTCTGCTTGGCTTGTTTTGTGTTTTTAGACCAAGTGGCAGCAAAGGTAAGGCTAATGTTAGCTAGGTTAGCTAGCGTTGGAGAGAAAATGGTGATGATGGCTCACCAAATTAAAATCTCCTCTGTTTTAACCTCACTAAAATATTAAATATCTATCGAGTCTTGACAGTTATTGACAGTTATATATATATCCGAGCTAACCTCTGATATCCTGACTTTGGGACATTAGTTTTAACACTCAAATACGTCGCAAGGTGTTGCTAAGGCTACATGTAGCTACACTGTCAGCACTAATTGAACATTATAACCTCCATGAAGGCAGGATTTACTGCAGGACTGTTGTATAAAACCGTGATAGCTCTAGCTCTGTGTAGCCAGTGAGCTGACAATTGAGTGTACTCTCTGCTTATGTAAAGAAGCTAACAGCTAACACCATCTTAGCTGCACTAACCTGCTCTGATCAATATCTGTGTAAGAATCATAATGATGATAGTAATAGCGTAATTGGTACATCACTTCAAAAAGGATGTCAACAGAATGCTCTACATGATTTAAAATACAGAAACACAAGACTGGAGCTATAACAATAAGAATACAACATAATACATAACATTGAGGACATTAATCTATCACAGAAACACAGTATGATTAAAGTAGAAAAAGCGAGGAAAGGCAGGAAAATAAAATCAAGAAATACATTTCAATATAAGCTTAAAATCATGGTTGCTGCCTCGCTGCCATTCAGGACTGGATGGCTTACAACTTCTGACAGCTTAACGCAGATAAGACAGAAGTCCTGGTTACTGGTCCTGACCACGTTTCTAACAGTATCACCCCCTACTTTGGATTATGAACAACTAAGACGAAACACTCAGCTAGAAACTCAGGAGTTGTTTTTGATCCATACCTTAACTTTAATCAGCTCATTTAGGGTGTTGTTCAATCCTGCTTTTTAAAATCAGAAATGTTGCTAAGGTCAAAACAGTACTCTCCAAAAACATAGTAGAACAACTTATCCACTCCTTTATTTTCTCACGCATAGATTACTGTAACTCTTGTTTAGAAAAGTGCTATTGAAATAAAGTTTATTATTAACATTTATATATGTTATATGTGTGTTTTGTATATCTCACCAGCGAAATGTGCACGCACATTTGAATGTATCACAACAAGTTGGTGATAATGGTGGTGAAGATCAGGCAGGAAGAAAAAAAGATTGATGAATGATTCATGATGTAATCTGAGACTTTTTTCAACAGGGAACAAGTGCCTGATGTACAATCAGCCACAACATCAAAACTACTTACAGATGAAGTGAATAACACTAATCAAGTCATTACGATACAGTGTTCTACTCCAGGCGTTTATGTGGATGCCACTTGACTGCTCCACCCACTCAAACACAGTTATAGACCAAGTACCCCTTCTTACGTTAATGGCACTCCTGATGGCAGCGGCCCCCAAGCAGGACAATGCATCATGCCACACTGAAAAACTGTTCAGGGATGGCCCAAAGAACGTGGCAAATAGTTCAAGGTGTCAAATTGGACTCCATATTCCCCATATCAAAGTCTGAGTATCTGTGGGACCTGCTGGTACCCCATCTCACAACCCACAGGATTCACTGCCAGCTCCTTGGTGCCAGACACCACAGGGCACCTCCTAAAGGTCATGTGTCCATGCCTCAACAGGTCAGAGCCAGGTCTGATCCAAGGAGGTCCCACCGTGGATCAGGAGTACCTCTGGGGTATTGGCACGTCACACAGATGCTCATTCGATTGGGATCTGGGGAATTCTAGGCCAGGGGAATTCTAGGCCTTGAGCTCTTTGTCACATTCCTGAGGACATTTCCGAAAGGTTTTTGAGGTGTGGCATTGCAAATTGTCCTGCTGGGAGGGCCACTGCCTTTGGGATGTGTCGTTGCCATGAGGGGTTGTACTTGGTCTGCAATGGTGTTTGGGTGGGTACAGCACGTCAAGTAGCATCCACATGCCAGGACCCAGTGTTTCCCAGAAGAGCACTGTGTTGTAAGATGATCAGTTATTCACTTCACCTGTCAGTCATTTTGATGTTTTAGCTGATAGGTGGATGTGTGAAGAGAAAGAAGAGGGAAAAAACACAAGAGTAAATATATTATACATTTGATCTGTCTGTTACAGAACTCTGAAGACATCCGCTGTAAATGCATCTGTCCCCCGTACAGAGATATTCAAGGACAAATCTACAAACAAAATGTCTCTCTCAAAGACTGGTATGTAAAATGATGTGTCAGAGCACCTCTCTGTAAGACATGATCCGTCCATTCCTGATTAATACTGTACCAGCTTGGTAATGTTTTTTTTTTTTCTTGTATTTCAGTAACTGTCTCCATGTGGTTGAGCCCATGCCAGTTGACGGGAAAGATGTGGAGGCATACTGTTTACGCTGTGAGTGTAAATATGAAGAGAGGAGCTCGGGGACAATTAAGGCAAGTTGGATTGTTGATTGCTTTGTCACTTTGTTTTAGTGCTGCACATAATGATGATATTCATTGCTGATTAACCTGTTGGTTTTGCCAGAAGATGCTAAAAAATTACCATCGTACTTTTTCTTAATTTGACAAAAATAAGTTGCTTGTTTTTGTCTTAATAGCAGTTCAAAGATACTGAATTTACAACAATTCGACAACCAATTCTCATATTTGAGAAGCTGGAATCACTGAATGTTAAGCAGTTGTGGTTGGTACATGCCGTAAATTTCAGTGAGAGACTCATTCCCCCAAGATGCACCACAGAGCGCCACAGGAAGTCATTCCTGCCTGTGGCCATAAACCCGTACAACTCCTCCCTCAGAGTGTCAGCCGCTCTGAGTCAGCAGACTGTCATCTGGACTTTATTCACCCTCTGAAGTTATGATTCATAAGTATCTGTTGGGTGCAGCTGTTCAACTGCTGCAATATTTTTTCAGTATAAGACTTCATCATGCACATAACTGCACATATTTCTTATGTTTACTTTATTCTATTTGTGTTTATTATTCTATTGATGTAAATGTTGTAATTAAGTTTCACATTTGTGGCCTCAACACAGTGATGATATATATA